GTGTGAGAAGGTGCTAGGTTGTCTATCTGTTACCTCAGCCTGGGGACAAAGTGCTGAAGGATCGCGGAGCTATTAAAAAAAAGCAAAGAGAATCCCGTCTGCCGAAGACTGGGAATTGAAGCTGGAAACATTGAGGCCTAGATTTTGGACTGGGATTGAATTAGCATGTGACCCTGGGGGAGGGCACGGTCTATGGGCCTGAACAGGCTGGTGACAGCTTGGGTTCGTTTGCTGATGAGTGGCTGGTTTCAGTCACCATCTCCCCACCCTCAGCTCCTCTAAGGCACCCCTCGAAGAGGCAGCTAGATCAGCGGCGAGCCAGGATTCTCAGTGGGAATCTGGGGTGTGGCCAGAAGGTGAGAGGGATGTGCCAACTGCAAACATACAATGGATCTAGGACCAGTACCCTCAGTTGTCCTCCTCCAAAGGTGGTGACACAATTTAAGTTTCTCATCTCCCTCAAGTTCTTTGGTGTCAGGACAGTGACCAGACAATGTAACAGGCAGTTGAGGTTCCCAAGGGAGGTCATAAACATGCGATGGGCTCTGTCTTTGCACTCGCAATGTATGTTCTGGCACCCATGAAGAAACCTTTGCCAAAATGATGGATAGCGCACTTTCAGTGCAGAACATTCCCGTGCACACACCCATTATTCTGGGCCTTGCTTTATGCCAGTGAAAGGAGACACAGCGTTCTGATTTCAAGACCAAACCCTCAGATATTAAGTCTCAGACCATGTTTTACAGAGCCCTCTGGTACAGTTATACTGGATGGTCGAGAAAATCACCCAAACAAATTTCAAACCCCACCCGGGCTACCCCTCAACTCCTACCAATGAAACCACAGCTGCTGTCCCACCCAGAGACAACAAACGGTGGCATGTGTTACAAAGAAGCTACAATTACATTTCTATGTCACTGTGAAGAATCTGTAAACAGAACCCCGTTTACCTGAGGAGTGATCCCACACCAGAAATTGGAGTACGCTGTCTGAGACACCAGCAGTGGAGCTACGACAGTTTTATTCTCTGCTATCAACTGTTTCAGTGTCTGGTCATTTGTAAGAATGTTATCCGTGTCCACATACTGAAAGTGAAGTGTAAGAGAAAGAATTCAGGTTCCTGAGATAGAGGCAAACACTGCAGAAGTCGAAATTAAAGCAGAACCCGCTGGAAGCGTTTAGCAGGTCCAGCAGCACCTATGGAGAGAGAAACACAGTTAATGGGCTGGAGGAGGCGATGGTCTAATGGTATTATCATTAGACTATTAATCCAGAAACTCAGCTGATGTTCTGGGGAAAACTGGAAGAACTGCAGATGCTGTAAATCAGGAACAAAAACAGAAATTGCCGGAAAAGCTCAGCAGGTCTGGCAGCATCTGTGAAGAAAAATCAGAGTTAACGTTTCAGGTCCGGTGACCCTTCCTCAGAAGGGGGACCTGGGTTCAAATCCTGCCACAGCAGAAGGGGGAATGTGAATTCAAGTTTAAGAAAGAAGTCTGGAATAAAGAATCTACTGATGACCATGAAACCATTGCTGATTGCCAGATAAACCCATCTGGCTCAATCATGTCCTTCAGGGAAGGAAATCGGCCATCCTCACCTGGTCTGGCCTACATGTGACTCCAGACCCACTGTTGACTTTCAACTGCCCTCTGAAAAGGCCTAGCAAGCCACTTGATTCAAGGGGAGCTCTGACAATAAAAGCTGATGGCCAATGACACTCTTGTCCCACGAGTGAATTAAAAAAAAAGCCTTAGATTTTCCAGCCAGTGTTGGCATCCTCAGGTCATGTTCATTTTGGGATCCTGAGATCGCCCATTTCACTAACATGCTCACTTTCCAGGGGGTGGGTCTTCCAAGCTGCAGGGTCAACACCCAGAGCCAGTAATGACATCAGGAGCGATGGGCATTGCCAAGGCAGGTAGGCGAGCAACAGGGTTCCTCAACATGGAGTCATCCTCAGCTGCCTGCAATGAGGTTGTGGGGTCAAACTGCCACAGCCTTGTGCATCAAGAATTGCGTGAAGTGGGTGGTCCCTCAGGCCTCAATGCCTGACCAACTTCAAGCTTGTTTAACTGATCACTTTTCTGCAGACAGTTGAGGATGGCTCCACATTGACCTCAAAGGCTCCCCTTGACATTTTTTGCATGAGGTCACATCAATGGAGCATCTCCAGTGTTGGTACAATTTCTGTGCAGGGGCAAAAACAAAGACGCCTAAACTGGCCCTTCTTCACACCGAGTATCTGCCTCAATGGAGTAGGTGGCTGGTCTTTACCCAGCCTGCCCCCCAAGCAAGACTACGACCCCCTGAAGGGAGAATGTTTCAGGGTGCTGCCCTGATGCAGCTTTCCCCTATTTCCCTGCCACTACCACCTTCCCCCTACCACCACACACATAAAAACATCCAATTCTGTTTCCACGGCACCAGGAAATTTGAGCTCAGTTTTTCAGGTTATCTTGGGTCAGACACTGCAATGGGTTTGAAGCACTCTGGAGTGTCCTGAGAATGGAACAGTCTTACAAGTTGAGCTCTGCACGTCGAATATTTTAAAATCTCAGGAAGAATGGAGTTCCGTTTGCATAGTGAATGTCACATCTCTATGACAATGACCTCCCTTTCCATTCCTGATCTTCTCAATCACCATCTCCCATGTGTATACTAATTACACATACATACTTTGTATATAAATACTGTTTATCTAAATATAATGGTTACAAGAGCAGATCAGAGTCTGAGAATTCTGTGGTGAGTAACTCACCTCCTGACTCCTCAAAGCCTGTCCACCATCTACAAGGCACAAGTCAGGAGTGTGATGGAATACTCCCCACTTGCCTGGATATGTGCAGCCCCAACAACACTCAAGAAGCTTTACACCATCCAGGACAGAGCAGCCGCTTGATTGGCACTACATCCACAAGCATCCACTCCCTCCTCACTAGTAGCACCAGTATGTACCATCCACAAGATGCATTGCAATAACTCACCAAGCATCCTCTGACAGCAGGTCAAAACCTGTGGCCTCTTCCAATTAGAAGCACAAGGGCAGCAAATAAATGGGAACATCACCTCGCAAGTTCCCCTCCAAATCCTCACCATCCTGACTTTGAAGGATATCGCTGTTCATTCAGTATCACTGGTTCAAAATCCTAAACTCGCTCCTAAACAGCATTGTGGGTGGGCCTATAACACAACGACTACATCGCTTCAAGGCAGCACGCCCCTACTTTCTCTAGGGCAATTAGAGACGGGCAATAAATGCTGCTCTAGTCGGTATTGCCAAGATATCTTGAATGAATCCGAAAAATAGGAAAAAACAAAATGGTGAAATTTTGATCCCACTCTCTTATGTAACCTCACCAGAATGGAGGTGGATATCATTGAGGAAGAAACCTAGTTTGTTCAACCACTGTGGTGAGAAAAACAAGAAAATATCTGTGAGAAACTCAGTCTAGGAGTTAAAGGAGAGGCAGGAGGCAAGAAACAAGATGAAGTCTTCATTGGGAGGCCTGCCAACAGCCAAGATTTAATTAAAGATGGACATCAAAGCTCTCTCCCAAATAAGGTCATAGGTGCAAAAGTCTTGCTCACCAGAGAGCAGGCATCCAACAGGAAATTCTCAAAGGCAGTTGATTGCACCACTGGAGGATTCGGGAATGTGTAGAACAGGAGGAAGACCAGCTCCCAGCGGGCAAACTGAGGGAAGAGAGGAGAAAAGGGCAGTCTGTGTCACAGAATGCCCTCTACTCTGAAATGGAGCTGTGTTGAACAGCTAAGGAAGAATAACAACTTGTACTTATGTCGCGCCTGTATAACAAAGAGACACATCTGGAGGTGAACAGAAGGGACAAATGGAGAAGGGAAAAAAAAAGAGAATTGCTTATAATTCACATTGAACAAAACGTTGGTCGGATGTAGGGCAGGGTGGGATGAGGCCAGTTCACTGCAGAAAAAGGCAATTAAGCTTGACATAGAATCACAGAATCCCTGCAGTGCAGAAAGAGGCCATTATGCCCATTGAGTCTGCATTGAGCTTCCAACCAAGACCTAGCCACCCTACCCTGTCCCTATAACCCTGCATTCCCCATGGCTAACCCCCTAGCCTGCACACTCCTGAACACTATGGGCAATTTAGCATGGCCAACCCACCCTAACCTGCACATCTCTGGACTGTGGGAGGAAACCAGAGCAGCCGCAGGGAACCCATGCAGACACGAGGAGAACATGCAAACTCTACACAGATAGTTGTCCAAGGCTGGAATCGAACCCAGGTCGCTGGCGTTGTGAGGCAGCAGTGCTAACCACTGAACAGTCCTAACCATTATCCTAGTGTGTGTGCTTGGCTCAATGTAACACTGGGCACTGCCCATTCAGACCAACAATAATTGCAGTTCTGCCAAGTATGAACCAGGATGGCAGAGAAGGGAACCTGGTTAGGTTTGAGACACCCTTTCAAGAATTGGTACAAAGTGTGCCACAGCTTTGATGAATGTACACAACTTTTATTGTGTTGATAAGAGACACCAAAAACACGTAAGGAATTTCAGCTCAAGCATTCAGAAAGCCACAATTTAAATCATGGTCGGAACTCATTTTGGCTGCAGATTCTAGTCTCATTTCCAGCTCATTATACTAATGATGGTAATCTGACTGAAGTGATTTTCCAGTCACTCCTTCGATGTTTATTAAAGCTGGTTCATTTTAATGATTGAGCATTTGAACTGGTTCCTTTCTCATTGGGACTGACTCAGACAAATAGCAAATAAATGAGGGCCACAGAGTAACTTTCCAGTCATAAACACGAGTGCTTGGTGTGGCTACAGGGTAATTTAATTTTGAAAACCAGCAGATTTTATGTGCCACTGCTCTTTTACCAGAAGCAGGGCTGTTCAATCAAGTTCTGCAAATGCAAAATACAGTGACCAAGATAGACTTGTATCTGAACTGCCTATCCAGTTAAGAGCAACATCACTGTAAATAAGCATGCTTTTCTTTGGATGCTAAAGAATTAAAGTATTTGTGAAATAGATTTGAGATGGAATGGTGAATGGGCTCATGGGACTGTTAGGTCTCCTCTTTACCGCTCCTAGTTTCTATATTCTAAGGTCAGTAGGAGTTGATGATTTGGTAAATCCCAGGTTTCCACATGAAATGATGTACTATTTCTTGAAGTGCGGCACTTAAAATGTTAATCAACCAGTGCCTGACCTATGGCATTGTTTAAAAGTAAAATACTGTGGATACTGGAAATCTGAAACAAACACAGAGAAGGCTGGAGAAACTCAACTGGTCTGACAGTATCCATGGGGAGAGGAGTAGAGTGAACATTTCAAGTCCAATATGACTGTCCTTCAGAATCTGAAGAGTCATACCAGACTTGAAGTGAAAAACTCACGTTTCTCTCTCCACAGGTGCTACCAGACCTGCTGAGTTCCTCCAGCATTCTCTTTGTTAATTACGATGTTGATAAAATTAAAGGATGTGTTGTTTTTCTACTGTGTATCACATTATTTGTGCTACAGTTCTAGATTGAATGAAGAAAGAAAATCAATCATGTAATAAACCCCGCTTAGCAGTCAGCTACATACTCACTGGACCCTAGCAAACAACCCAGATAATGAATATGGTCATTTTTGTCTCAAAGCGCAAACAAGTAAAGAATATTTGATCTTAACTCCAAAAGTAATTGCTTCCATTTAAATTTCATAATATATTTGTACACTTGTAACAGGAGCAACCATACTTTCTCTCCAGCCTTGATCAACAACATACTATTTTTTCCAATATATTCGCCAGAGTATGTTGTGTAAGGTCATCAGGACCCTGGAGCAACTTCGCGATGATGTCATGGCACTGTCCATCACTGAGTATAAATGAGACAGAGTAGATGGAGTTTGCAATAATCTAGTCTCAATCTCTGCACCAGATCAGGCCATAAGAAACAGAAAAAGTAGGCCATTCAGCCCCTTGAGCCTGCTCCACTATTCAATAGGATCATGGCCGATCTGATACTCATGTCCACTTTCCTGCTCTTTGCTTGTGATCTTTGATTCCCCTACTGATCAAGAATCTATCTATCTACTCA